GTTGGCAGAACCTGGGATGTCCCCATTCCCCATGAGTCTTCTTCCCTCCCTATGGAAATGTACTGTGCTCCTAGGCAGTCAACAGAACCCACCATTGCACGTCCCGTTACTGTTCATGGCCTCCATTCACAGTGGGCTTATGGTGCGCCAGCCTTGAGAGGGCACGGGGGTGGGAGTGTGGAGATGGACATGAGATGTCCATACCTGCCCACAAGATGCTGTCCATAGGTCAGCTGGATATGTAAGCAAATAATTAGAATGCAGTAAGATATGGAAAGATATCCGTGATAGATTGTGTTAAATAAAAATAAAAGCCTATCAAAATGGTTTGCAATGCATGATCAGATTTTTGTAAAATGTGCCCTTTTGGAAAAGAGTTATGTCAAAATGTTACAGTGGCTGGTTGTCTCTAGGTGGTGATCTTGGAAAAGGATGCTGGACCTCTGTCCTAGAAGCAGGAGGTGGAGGAAGGAGGGAGGATGCTCTTCCAAGAAGATCCTGGATCTCTCATTGCTTCTTTATTTACAGATAATAAAATAATAATAATAATAGCCAATATTACTAACACTATGAGCCAAGCACCGTTGCTAAGAACATTATATATTAACTCCTTTAATCCTCGTAACACCCCTAAGAAGCCTGTCTGATTCCAGTGCTTATTTCTCGTTGCTTGTCCAAATGTGCCTTGGGACCATGGATCCCAGAGCAAGCTGGCTTGCAAAGGTGGGAGTGGGAGGGGCCAGGTGAGGGAGTGGGCGGGACTGTGCAGATGATGCTGCGTTCCGGGGAAATGTTTTTCTTCATTTACAGGGCTGGATGCTGTACCGCATCTGTGAAGGGAGATATTCTGATTTCTTTTGACATATTGATATATTCTAAACTCTCTGCAACGTCCAGCTACTTTTCATTGGAAAAGAAGAAGGAAAGGCACGTGGTTTTATTTGTTAGGTGTGCTCAGGGCTATGGTGGAAGGGGCTGTAAAGTCCAGTGGGAGCTTGGGAGGGGGACTAGATAGTTCTGCTTTGACATACTGAGGAAGAGTCACCCAGAGAAGGTGACTTGTGACCTGTGTCTTAAGGGAAGTGTGTGAGCTCACCGGGTGCAGCAAAGGTGTGGCGCTGTGCTTGGAACACACTGGATTGTGAATTCAAGAGTGTGGCCGAAGGGGAGCACAGGAAATGAAGCTGGGAGGTGGACACTTAGCACCTGGGGTTGTTATTCTGAGGGGAATGGAAAGCGCTGGAAGTCTTAGGCGGGTGAGGGGGCTGCTCGGGGTGCTGGTCTGGAAGCTCAGGCTGGTGTAGCACGAAGGGCAGATAGTCTGGGGGCAGAGAGGCCAGGGAGAGGTGGTAGCAGCCTGGCTGGAACTGAGGAGGGGACAGTATGGCCAAAATGGAAAAGTGCCTATGTGTCTGGAAGATTCAGACCCATGTGGGTTTCAGCACCTCCTCTCCCCACCCCTCTCCCCCCATGTACTAGCTATGCAACGCTGGGCAGTGCATTCTCACTCAGCCTCAAGGACTTAGCTGAGGCGACAGCTAACTGGGGAAGGCAGATGGTTGGCGACGGGTAGTAAGTGGGTACAAGTGGTAGCCCCCTTCTCCATCCCCTTGACGCAGAGGCTGGTGACCGATTTTCTCCTGTGAGTCACTCAGCTGGTGCCAGGGAAAGTGTGAGGTTGCTTGTTCAAGAAGGGTCTATATGCGCGCCAAGCCTGTGGGACCCACCACGGTGCCCAGGCACCCTGGCAGACCCCCGGGGCTGGGACCAGAACTTCTGGGAGCACGGGAGAAAGAGGAAGACAGAGGCAGAACGGGGCCAGATCCCTGGGTTCCAGTTAGTATCCAGTCCCAGCCCCCTCTGGTCCCAGCTGTGCTTAGGTCTGAGCCAAGCCACATCTGGTCCCTGCCCTCGGGGAGGTCACCATCGGCTAGGGGAGATTCACAAATAGAGCCTTGTTGCCGCGCGAGAGTGCACTGAGGCCAGCTTCTTGTGGATAAGGTCTTAACTAACCCTCATGGCGACCCTGGGAAGCAAGTGCCGTGCTCTCCACTTTAGAGATAAAGGAACAGCAGCTTCAAGAGAAGGATGTGGCCCAGGTCTTCCCGCCTGGGGGTGGCTGAATCGGGGATGGAAGCCACAACCCGCCCAACTCCAGGGCTTGGGTATCCAGCTGGGGCCAGGGGACTCAGGTTTAAGCAGGGACAGGGTTGTGCCCAGGCAGTGACCTCCACCTCACCAACCTGTGACTTGTCCCTGGGCCTACTGGCAAAGGGGTAGCTGGGCAGTTGGGTCCTGACCAGTGAGGGGTGCATGCCCTGCATGGATGCCTGCCCCTGCAGGAGTGTCAGCTGGGCAGTTTCACGGCCTCCAGCTTCCCCCTCTTCCCCCCACCCCAGCAAGTCCACGAGGGCACCAAGCGGGCTGCTGGTGGCCTCTGGTCCCCATGGGCTTGTCCCCACTTTCAGATCGAGAACAGCAAAGCTGTAGGAGGTCCTGGTTTGAGGTCTGTCTGGTTCCTGTCTCAGCTCAGAGATTCTGAACTCTGTGTTTATACAGGCTTCTCTGAGCCTCGGTTTCCCCAGACTCACGCAGCCAGGATGAAAAGGACCCCACCAGTCAGAGGAGGCTGAGCTCAGAGAGCACTAACGCTCTTGGATGGCATGTTTCCCCGGAAACAAGGAGTTTAGGAATCGGGTGCCTGGGCCCTGCCGCCGACCTGCTCCGTGACTCTGAGGCAGTGTTTCCCCTCTCTGAGCTTTAGATCTCAACTGGACAGGCTGCTCTGACCTTCTGTGTCCCTGGGCAGGGAGGACAGCTGGTCACCACCAGCTTAGTGGGGAGTCCTTAGCTGTGGCAGAGGGAATCTGGCCCAGCTCCCTGGCTTGCTGGAGCAGAGGGAAAGGACAGAAACAAAACCCAGACCCCAGCTCATCCAGGAACGGGCTCCTTTTGACCTACATGGATTTTGTGAAGCTTTAACCAACCTGTGATTTTGTCCAGCTTTGCACATGCTGTTCCTTCAGCCTGGATGCTATGCCCCATTCCCCACGTTCTAGGATAGCTCAGATGTCTTCCCACAGGAGACTCTGCAAACTCCCGCACCGCTCACCCTTCCTTCAGACTACTAAATCACCTGTCCCCCCAAACTGTCTTTAGCCTGCACTTGCTAAATGGCCTAGCATTTAACCTGCTCTGCTTAACTCATTCAGTCCTGGAAGACTTGTGAGTTGGAACCATGAGCCCTCCTTTGACACAGGAGGAAGAAGGTTCAGAGGGGTGAGGTCACACAGCAGGTGGGAGGCCCTGCTCCCAAGCCCCACTGTCCCCGGCCTCTCCCTCTCCCTCTCAGGCCTGGGGTGGCAACCTCCTGCAGGCGCTGGGGGAAGCACTTACAAGCCGGCCATATTTCTTTTTCTTTCTTTTTTTATTATGTTATGTTAGTCACCATACAGCACATTATTAGTTTTTGATTAGTGTTCCATGATTCATTGTTTGTGTATAACACCCAGTGCTCCATGCAGTACATGCCCTCTTTAATACCTATCACCAGGCTAACCCATCCCCCACCCCTCCCCTCTAGAACCCTCCGTTTGTTTGTCTCTCATGGTTCCTCTCCCCCTCCGATTCCCCCCCCACCCCCCACCCCACCAGCGGTGGTGGTCTGGGGGCTCAGAAAAATTTGGGGTCCACGCCTAGAGCACCCCTGTTACATGTAGACATTCTCTTTTTCTCGCACACCTACACACGTGTGTTTTTAAACACATTTGGGAACATGCCCTTTTGAAGTCTAAAGCTTCACCTTTAGAAGCTTCACCTTCACTCTTTTTTTTTTAAAGATTTATTTATTTATTTTAGAGAGAGAGAGAGAGAGAGAGAGAGAGAGAATGCGAGTGGGAGGAGGGATAGAGGGAGAAGGAGAATCTCAAGCCGACTCGAGACCGCCCCCTTCAGTTTTCCCTTCCTTCTCCTAATGTCCTCCATGCTATTCCTTCTGTTCCACATGAGTGAGACCACGTGATAATTGTCTTTCTCAGCGGGACTTACTTCACTCAGCATAATCCCCTCCAATTCCATCCATGTCCAGCCATTATTTCTGCCTTCCTCCTCAGGATGTGAGGTCCTGGAGGTAGGTCGTGCTCTCAGAGTGAGTGCTCTGAGAAGCAAAACCCAGTTACTTCCAGGAAGTATGGGGTAAACCCCCTTTGGGCCTCAGTTTCCCTTCCTGTGAAATGGGAGCGAGGAGGCATGGGCTCAGCACTCCTAGAGCCCTCTCCCACCGAGTCCCTCTCAGCTCCCAAGCCTGCCCCAGTGGAGTAGCCCAGAGGGGGTGGGGTGGGGACAGCCTCGAGGCCAGCCCGCTCCCGAAGGTTGCCACACGCTCCCCGGCCTGGACACCCTAACCCCGCCCTCCCCGTTCGCGCGGTCGCTTTAAGGTCGGGCGGGGCCGACGGCTCGGGCCCTGGCGCTTCGACCCCGGCGGGCAGGGAGTCTCCGCCGGACCGACGGCGCGCGAGGACCCGGATCGGAGGAAAGGTGGGGCGGGCGGCGTCCCCCAGTACGATCGGGAGCCCAAGCGCGAGCGCTGGGGTCCCGGGCTGGCGGCCGCGCGGGGGCGGAGGGCGAAGCTGGACTCCGCACGCCCCTCGGCGCCCCTGGAGCGGCCCCGCAGCTCGCAGAGGCCTTGCAGGGATCGCAGCCCCCGGGGGGCGCGCTTGGGGTGCGGCCGGCTGGGCACCTCTCTGCGCCGCCCCGCTGGCGGCGGGAGCTGGCCGGACGCCCGGCGGCTGCGGGTCGGGGGCATTCGGACAGCCCTGGACGAGAGCGAGAGCCGGAACTTGGAACTTTTGGGGGACGCGGAAAGCCGGGCTAGGGGACCGCCGCTAGGGCTGCTTCCCTAACGCCGTGCGCCTCCTGTAGACCCGAGGGACAGCCGTCCCCAGGATCGCGGCCGCCCTCAGGTCTCCGCGCCTGAACCACGCCTGACCACCTGCCACCCGATGGCTTCCTCCAAGGTGGGTGTAAGCTTACTTCTCTCCCTCCTTCCAGAGCATCCAGGTTTCTCCTAACGCCGATCCCGCCTGGACCCCTTCTCTTCACCTTGATTGGGAGACTTGCCCGTGGAGAGTGGACGCCCAGGTCTCTTCCTGTGTTCTAACTCCCTGGGTGGCCTTGGGCATGGCAGTCAGGGCCTCAGTTTACCCGGTAGTTGATTGGGATGGTTCGGACCACTTCCTGTCCAGCTGGTTTAGTTCTTACAGAAAAGTGGCACCTGGAGTTCTCTTGTTGGTAACGTAGACCGTGTGATCGTGCCCATTTTACAGAGGAGGGAGCTGAGGCGTGGAGAAGTGAGGTAAATTGCCCAGTGTCAGAGCCAGGGTCCATCCTTGTCCAGCTCTGTGTCACCATGCTTCACTTACAGCTTGCCATCCTGCCACCTCAACTTTATAACTTGCTTTTCCCTGCCAAGCAGAATTTGAGCTCGGGGATGCTGAGAAGCTTCAAGGTTACAGAGCTTGGCCATAGTTAGAGGGAGTGATAAATCTGGTGCAGGGGAGGGCCTCTTCTGGCTGGTGGGAGGTGGGGGTGGCAGCAGCAGATAGGCTTCTGGGAGGAGATGGTTGGTGTTTGGACTGGGTCTTGAAGGGGGAGCTGTGAAATGAAGGTCCTGGGTGGGGACAAAGGGCTCCCAAGAACAAGGTCCCCAGGCCCCCAGGACTGGGTTCAGATTTGGCACTGACCTCAGGCAAGCTGTGACCCTCGAAGCTCCATAATGCCATTGTGAGGATTAAGTCAGGGGCCACCTGTAAAGTGCCCAGCCCATGTCAATGCCCAGTACATGTCTGCTGCCGCCATCCTCATGTGTGTAGGCCAAGGGAGAAATGGAAAGGGAAATCCCACCTGCAGACCGTCTTCATCTCTGAAGGGCAGAGTTAATGATGATTCATATTTTGCATTTTTATTCTCTTCTGCGGTTTTCTCTCTTTTTTTTGTCCCCCACAATGCACAACTACTGCTTTTTTTAGAAGTTTAAAAGCATCTTAAATTACCTTATACAGGAGCAAGTTCTTCAAGTCTTGAGAAGCACAGCAGTTTCTGGCTTGGGCCCAGGTCCTTCGCCTTTCTGGGCTAGGTCTCCTCGTTTGTAAAGCAGGAATTTCTTTCCCTGCCCTGACCACCCACCTCAGTTGTGGGGAGTGTGAAGAGGTGCCACGATATACTGGCGAGGGCTTATTAACTGTTACTGATTTGCCATGAGTTTCTAAATTGTTTTTCCAAGCGGATTTCTGCAGCTTTCCCTCTTGATAGCCTCTCCTAGCTGTCTAGCTTTGGACAGGGAATAGTCAGGTTCTTTTTCTCCCCCACCACAAATGCTTTGAGCTGGAGATGGGAGGCACTTGCCCCATAGACAGATTCACAGGAAGAGAACAGCAGGTAATTTACGGACGGCATTTTTCTATATGCTTCTGGTGGCCTGGGGGCTCAGAAAGATTTGGGGTCCACGCCTAGAGCACCCCTGTTACATGTAGACATTCTCTTTTTCTCTCACACCTACACACGTGTGTTTTTAAACACATTTGGGAACATGCCCTTTTGAAGTCTAAAGCTTCACCTACTAGATCTTTCTTTTTTAAGATTTATTTATTTATTTTAGAGAGAGAAAGAATACAAGTGGGGGGGAGGGATAGAGGGAGAAGGAGAGAGAATCTCAAGCAGACTCCCCGTTGAGAGCAGAGTCCAACGTGGGCTCCATCCCAGGACCCCGGGATCATGATCTGAGCCAAAACCAAGAGCCAGCCTCCTAATTGACTGAGCTGCCCAGGCACCCCTTTGCCTACTAGATCTTGAACATTTTACTAGGACCCTCGGCTCCCCCAGGATCACACCTTTGAATGACTGCACAGCAGGGCATCATTTGGGCGCAGCACACTTGGCTGGGTGAGCCCCCATTCGGCAGGTATTCCTGATCACCTAAGTCTAGGATCTGTGAGTTCCCCAGCCCCCAGCTTCACTGATGCAGATTTTGTAAGAGGAGACGGTGTCTCTTTAACGTCTCCTAGAGGCCTGCTAAAGAACCTGCCCTTTATAAGGGAAAGGAAACAGGCCCCAGGGCAGTTGGTAAGCTTACCCCAGAGCTGCAGAGTGGGGACCAAAGGCAGGCCTCCACTTCGTGGCTGGGTGCTGGAGCCGCTGGGATCCTGTGTTCCCTCCCGCCTCTCAGCTGGGAGGGAGGCTTTTCACATAGCAGGTGTTTACCCAGTAATACTTTCCCTCACTTAAGGGAATTTCTTCAACAAATGTGTATTGAGCTACTACTATGTGCTAGGCACTGGGGAATATAGCTGTGAACGGGGCCAACGTGGACCCTGTCCTCAGGGCGCTCACTGTCTGGTGGGGAACACAAGCAAAGGAGAAGTTAAACCCAGACAGAGAAGTGCTGTGATCCAGGAAGGCCCCGGGGACTTGGTGTTTAAGTGGAGGCTTCTTGGGTGAGGGCCAAGCTGACCTTGAGGGAAGATAATGGCAGATTACCAGACAGGGAGAACAGCGCATACAATGGCGTAGAGGTTGGCTTTGGGGACAACATGGATGTGGGTTTAGTTCCTTCCTGTCTGTGGGATCTGGGGTCAGATTTCCTCCCAGTGTGTGTTTTTCCTGTGCATTTTTTCTTTCCCTGATGGCGATAACCCACCATGCATAATTTGGTATACTAAGCCGAAAAAAGGAAGATATCTGCATTTCCCCCCTAGTTGTTCAACATTGGTGCTGAGCTTGTTTTCTCAAACGGCTTATTGATATTCCATCCAGAGGGTATGCCATGCTTTACTCACCCTGTCCCTGTAGTTGGACATTTGTTTAGGCTTCCTCCAAATTAGGACCGTTATAAGTAAGGCCAGGGTGGACACCTTTTTGCACAAAGGGGCTACCTGTCGTGGATGTCAACTTGGGGCTCCTCAGTGCCCTCTTCCACATCTGCTCCTTTACCTGCCCTGGGTCTGCCCTTCCTCTGCCAGCTGGAGGGAAGTATGGCCCTCTCTCAGGATTGTGACCGGGGGAAGCGAGCCACTGCATAACCAGCAGGTCCCACCCGTGGAAGGCCTGGTGGGCCCAACAAGTGTGCCTGCTGGTCCCTCCCAGCCTGTAGCAGACGGGCCGGCAGGGGTGGGGGCGGGGCGGCAGGGAGTCGTACGCACGAGGCTGATGGGGCCTGTGAGGCCTGGGGGGGCTCCCGGAGTGAACAGGGCCACACTTACTGAGCTCCTGCTGGGTCCCAGGCATGGTGCTCAGAACTTGGGACACGTTCTTGGTGACCTCTGAAACAGCCCTGCAGAGTTGGGAGTATCATCTCTTTTACAGATGAGGAAAACAGAGGCACAGAGGAGTCAAATGACCTCTCCAGGGTTACACAGTGATCTCAGACAGGCAGGGGAGGACTGAGACCGGGGTCTCCAGTCCCGCAGCAGGCCTCTGTCATGGCCCATTTTCTCCTCTCTCCCCTTCTCTGTATTCAGATGTGTGACGCGAGCCGAGCGGCCTCCGCTCTGCGCTACTGCGTGACGGTCAGCGGCACGGTGCTTCTGGTAGCTGGGACACTCTGCTTCGCTTGGTGGAGTGAAGGAGAGGCAGGGGCCCGGCCCGGCCAGCTGGCCCCACCCACTGGGCACCCCATGCCTGAGACCCCCAGGCCCCTGCTCAGGCCGGTCAGCTTCTTCTGCTGCGGTGCAGGAGGCCTGCTACTACTCTTGGGCCTGCTGTGGTCCGTCAAGGCCAGCACCCGGGGGCCTCCCCAGTGGGACCCGTGTCACCTCTCCAGAGACCTGTACTACCTCACTGCAGAGCCCTCGGAGAAGGAGAACCACAGGTCAGCAGGGCAGGGTGGGGGTGATGGGTGGGGGTCGGTGTATAAGGCACTGTCACGCAATCAGGCCTTTGTGTAGCAAATTCTCATGGGGTTTTTCCTCTGGACCAGGCCTGGCCTATGTGCTGGGGATTTGGAGGCTGATCAGCACTGTCTTGGAGGAGTTTAAAGCCCTTTGACAGACTTTAACAAACCAAGGTAGTTAGAGCTGTCAGAGAGGGGCAGACATGGTCCTCTGGAGATGTGGAGAAATCCAGGAAGGCTTCCTGGAGGAGGTGGCAATTGAGCTTAGCATGGTATGGGGCAGAGGACCAAAGAGGTTAAGAGCCCAGGCCCAGAGGTCAAACCTACTGGGATCCTCTCCTGGTTCTGTCACTAACTAGCAAGTAGAAAAGTAGATCGTGCAACCTTCCTGAGCCTCAAGTTACTCATCTGAAGTAAGACAGAGAACAGCACAATAATAGCAAACACCTGTATTCACCCATGTGCTGGACACTGTTCTAGGTGCTTTGCATATATTTACTCATTTTGTATTTACAGCAGTTCTCTGAAGTGGGTCCTGTACCCCATTTATAGATGAGAACACTGAAGCACCCAAGCACGAACTGACTTGCCCAAGGACACCCAGCTAGTGCACGTCACAGTCAGGACCTAAACCCAGAGTCTGCGCTCTCGCTGCTCCCTAGCTTAGCGGACATGCAGATGCAGAACTTAGCCCAGCCCCTGGCACACAGTAGATGCACAGTAAATGTAACTTTTCCTCAAGTGGATAAGGTAGAGAGAGGAGGTTTAGGCAGGCAGGAGAGCCTGTGCAAAGGCTCGGGGGCAGGATGGGGGTGGAGACAAAATCTTGCATTAAGACCATATATCTCAACCTTTTAAAAATTATTGCTCCCTCTAAGGAGCCTTTTTGGGCATTTTTTTTTCTTCATCCCCTACCCCCGCCATGAAACGTTCATGCCACAGATACACTGCTCTGTATGTATATCTGTATTGTAGACATAAACGGAGAATCACCAGGATGCCAAGAACCCACTTTTCGCCCTGTGGTGGACGCATGCGTTACAGTGCCTACTTGTTACATACTTATTCATTCAGTCAAGTATGGGCTGTGCCTACATATCCAGGGCCTGCATACAATTCCAGTCCTGTCTGCCTGCAACGTAAAAATCACTGTTATCATTTACAGAAGAAGAAGGTGAGGGCTATCCAGCTAGCAAGTGGCCAAGCCTGCTGGCTGCAGAGCTGGCCTTCTCCCACCCCAGCCTGCAATCACTGGGTTTTGGGGTGTTAGGGGCTAAGCCAGACATTAGTGAGCTGGCCTGGAACCTGGACACCCTTTTCCCCTTAGGGAGAGGGGAAAATGTATTCTGAGTTAAAGAATGTAACAAATTCTTCCTGCTACTGGCCTGTGACTCCCCGAGGTCAGAGACAATAGAGTATTCACCAGGGGCCACTTGGTACAATGGTCTGGCCTTGGTTTGACCCAACTGTTAGAGGGAAGGGCAAGGCCTCGGGGACTCTCCAGCCAATCCCCTCACTTCTCCGCTGAAAAGCCTGGGTCTCACAGAGACCGAACATCTACCTGGTCACACAGCGAGTTAGTGGTTGACTGGAACCAGGCCAGCCCTCAGGGTGCCCTGGACTCCAGCCTGTCCCTCCTCGCCCAGCCTGGCCTGACCGCTTGGGGTGGGTGTTGTCTGTACACACAAGCGTGTTGACTCAACAGGGTCGGGGCCACAGTGTGTGTGTCACGTGGGGCCAGTTGGCCTTCATTCCCAGCAGGGCCAGGGAGAAGCCCACCCTGGAGGGTGCTCATGGCCCATCAGGTCCGGAGACCCAAGTCATAGGCCCAGACCGAGGATGGCCAGATGTCGGGGAGGCTGCGTCGGTGAATGACTTTCTTGTCCCTGAAGCTGACATCGCTCGGCCCTGCTGCTCCGTGAGGCCAGTCTCTGGCCCCCATGGGGAGGCTACTCTGCTGGCGGCTGGACGGGAGGCCTCCCAGGGCCCCCACCCTCAGTGAGCCCAGCAGAAAAATCCTGTCTATTCAGACATGAGGCTTTCAGCATCTGCTCTTTCATCGATAAACGGTGTGTCCTTGAGCATGTTACTCGGACTCTCTGAACTGTGTCTGATTCCTCATCTGTCTTCTGGCCGTGACAGAACTTTCCCCTGAGATGGCTGAGAGGCTCGGATGAGGTGATGGATGAGGAAGTGTAGGCCCTGCAAGGTTCGTGCACACTTTAGCTCTGCTGCTGGGCATGACTGTGCTTTATAGCTTCCCGGGCACTCTGGTGCCCATTCACTTGATTTGAGCCTCAACGGTAGGAGGTAAGTGTAAGGATTAGGCCCATTTTACAGACAAGACAGCTAAGGTGTGGACAGATTAGGGCTTGGGATGGGAATAAGGGTGATAGGTGCCGTTGGCTTGAGCTTTGCAATTAGACAGGGCTGGGGCTTTGCGGTTTAGTTGATGCGTGACCTTTCCTTGTCTGTACAATGGCTGAGAGCCATGCCCCCAGTCTTGTCACAGACATGACGTAGATTACGGAACTTACACACTGGGCAAATAGTAGTTCATCCTGGTCCCTTTCCCTACTGTGGTTGCCCGACTCCGCTGAAGGGTAGAAGAGGGAACGCGGGGCCCAGGCTTCCTGCCCCCATGGGGCTCCAGGGAGTAGGGCAGGCCCTAGCCTCGGTGGAGCTTGCTGTGCCTGGGGATCCTGCCACAGTAGTGGCAGGCCCGCCCCACACACCTGCAGGGCGCTGTATCCAGAATATTCCATGAATGGAGCCTCCATCCGGAAGTGTGTGTGATATGGCCTCCTGCATGGGGTCTCGTGGTTCCCCAAGTTCTCAGCCTCTGGACTGCGGGTATGGAACTTGGGGCTGGCTGGGCGCCGTTGGTTACTAAGGCCACAGCACGTGGCATGAGGGCCACTCCATGTCTGCCCTATAAGCAAACTTTCTGTGGTAGGCCGAGCTTACCTGGCATCTGTGCCCTGCCCAGTCAGCTGTTGCCTGCTCGGGTGATCCCAGGCGTACCCCACATCTGGGTCACATCTCCAGGGCTTGGAGAAACAGGGAGAGGCAGGGGTGTGGTTGGGAGGGGAGCAGGGCAGAGGACATGGGGCTCTCGAAAATGCAATACCCACCCTTTTCTGAGTGTTGTCAGAGCTTTTACCATTTTCCCCGTCCCTGAATCTTTAAATGGGAATTGTTATCCCCATTTTACAGATGAGGAGAAAGAGGCTCAGAGAGGTCGTGTGAACACTGCCTAGGTCATGCAACAATAGACAACAACAGAATCTAGCTTGCTGGCCTCCAGAAGCAAAATTCTTTGCCTGCCCTCACATGCAAAGGATGCTGGGAGCTCAGAGGAGAATGAGACCCCTTAGGAGCTTCCTCAGCTGCAGGGCTCCCGGGCTGTCTTCCAGAGGAGGAGGGTCAGTGGGAGAAGCATGCAGTGGCACTAGACGGGGAGCCCAGGCTTGACTCCTGGCTGGTGCCCTCCATCAGGCTGGCACACAGGCTTGGGGGGGGGCAGCCCTGGGCTCCCCACCATGACCCTGTCTGTGACTGGAGCAGCAAGCCCATCTCCCCAGGGGGTCACTCTGACGGTTGTGGTTGCCTGGGGCTGAGAAGACACGTTGTCCAGAGAAGGGCCATGGCCCCCAGCGGGTGACGGGGGCTCCCATGAGGGGCAGCAGCCAGTGTCCGGCACAGCCCCCCACCAAAACCCTGGAGAGTGAAGTTCCCTCCACCACCTCTTCTGACTCCCAGGGCTGGCCTCCTGCCATCTAGACAGGCAGACCCCCTGGTGTGGATTGAACTGCTTCCTCATCCGCTCCAGACTGATGAGCATGGGCAAGTGACAGGCTCTCTGAGCCTGTATGGCACTTACGGTGCAGGAGATCTGTGACAAGTTTTGTCCCCCATGCTCCTTCCTCACAGAGACTTTTGAGATTTTGTTATTGGCTTCTGTTTATGGAGCGTGTGCTAAGTGCCCCTTCCCCTATATCATCTCAATTAATCTTCATTTAGTCCCATGACAGAGGTGCCATTATTGTCCTCATTTTATAGATGGGGAAACTGAGGCTCAGATTAATGGAGTTACTGACCCCACCATCTTCCACCAAGAATGGGGCAGAGCAGAGAGTTGAACTAGCCAGCGCCCAGACTCCTAACTCGGTGTGGGAAGCGACCTTCAGGATCACATGGTCGGCCCCTGTATCTGGCAGCATCATCACCAAAGCAGAAACAGCCCAGACCTAGGATCAGTGACACTCCCACCCGCCAGGGTCCTGGGAAGGGAAGAAGCACTAACTCCCTAGAGGTGACCCACCAGGCTTCTGAGAGCGTTGTGGCTAGGATACGGGTGACCTGTTTTTGGAATCTAGCCCGTGGAGCCTGGTCCCAGAAGCCTCACAGGACCTGGTCTCTGCCCTAAGTCCCTGCAGGGTAGTTCATTTGTTGGAGGTAGGGCACGTCACAGGAAAGCCAGGCTGTTGACAGATAGATGTGGTTGACCTGGTAGATACTGAGCTCACCATCTCTGGGGTTATGCAAGTGTAGGTAATCACTCTGCAGCCTTATCATATGGGGTCTCAAGTGTCCAGATGGGCAGGAGAATTGTCTCCCATCCTTCCTTGAGCATCCACAACTCCGGATCTTGTAAGGGATATTACAATAAGCTAGAAGTCTTTGTGCCTATGAACCATCACTCTGTCTTTCAGCAAACATCTCCAGACCCCTGCCCTCAGCCCTTGGATGCTCAGTCCCTGGTGGGGTCAGTGCGGTGACAGGGGGAGAGTGTTCTGGGAGCCCAGAGCAGGGAGTGAGGGCTATGCTGGGGGAGGGACCAGCCAAGGAAGCTTAGCAGAGGAGTCTCACAGGGCAAGGGGGGCCTGGTTCTAGCTGAGCGGGGATGGATTTCCCCTGCAGAGAGAGCTGAGGAGGTACAAGGGGCATGTGTGGGCAGCTAACGGCGTGGGCAGGGAGGGCAGAGGGGAAGGGCTGAAGCTGCCAGGGCTGGCTCATGCCAAGCTCCAAGAGTGTAGCCGAGGCGCTGGGAGGCCCGCACAGGGTTTGGACCTGGGCATGAAGTCTTCCCCAGCCCCAGCCTTCCCTGCTCTTTCCCTGCACACAGTCACTTTCGCCCTCGCCCCTGCTACAGCTGCTCTTCTGTCTCGTAGGCTCCCAGAGGTGGCTGCCATCCCCACTTATGAGGAGGCCATGTGCTGCCCACTCGCCGAGGGGCCCCCGACACGGCCCATGGACCCCCTGGAGGAAGGCCTGAAGGACAGTGCCTCTGGGGATGCCCTGCTCGGGACCCAGCGCCCCCTGCTGCCGCCCAGCTACGAGAGCATCATTGGTGCGGTGCGTGGCATCTATGGAGAGACAGGCCCGGCTCGGACTGCAGGTGGGGGAAGCTCAAGGCTCCCAGCAGACCCCAGAGCTGGAGACAGGTGGTGAGTTTGGGTTGTATAGTGCAGGGCCTGGCACACGGGAGGCACGCGACAAATGTTTGCTGCTGAATGCTCGCGTATTGACCTATTGCTGTGTAACAAACGGCTTCAATTAAACGCATTTCATTCTCTCCCGTGACACTAGGCGCTGCCTGGGCCCGGCCAGGTGGCTCTTCAGTAGCCCACGATGGTGGGGCTGCAGCCCTGAGGGGCCCGGCTGGGCCAGAATGTCCAAGATGGTGCACTCAGACGGCTGGCCGTTAGTGCTGGCTGTCAGCTGGGGGACTCTGTTGTCCAGATGAGAAGGTGGGGGCCCAGGGGCAGGGGCAGGATGAGCCCGAGGTCGCACACTGAGTTTAGAATCGGAAGGATGTGGGCTCTGAATTCAGACCACCTGGGCATGCGTCCACCCCGTACCAGTTGAGTGACCTTGAACAAGGGACTTTGCCTCTCTGCCTTGGCTTCTGCAGGTGTAAAAGGGGAATCAGGAGTGACAAAGGCCCCAGCCCCTACCCCAGGAGCTGAGTTGTGAGGACTGCATGAGGTGATAGCAGCTGGTGTTGTGAGCTCACATGGGCCCTGCGGGCACAGTCCTAAAATGCTTCAAATGATAAATGCACATCTTCGCCCAGTGGCAGGTGTCTATGAGTACTCAGCGATGTCCGATTTTGTTAGTCACCCCCTCCACCGAGGGCAAATTTGGCCTCTGCTCCCATACCTCCTGTGACAAGGAGCTCATTACCTAGCCTTACTTTCCAATATGGCAGAAATGTCTGTTCTCTGCCCAGCTACATTCTGCATCCCTCATTTCCACCTCACCCCATTCACAGATGAGAAAGTCAGCTCAGGGAGGTGAAGTAACATTCCCAGGGTCACACAGCAAGCAGAGATTCAAAGTCCTGGGGCTCAGTCAGCTGGATAAGGGTGGCATTCCCTGAGGGCCGACAGTGCGCCCGGGCAGGCCTCTGTGTTGTTTCACGCTGTCAGGATGCTCTGCTACAGGTGGTGTTCCCATTTCCCGGGCGAGGAAACTGAGCCTCAGAGGGGTAAAATCACAGAGAATAACGCCAGAGCCGGTGGCTTCAATCAAGCTTGCCTGTGCTTCTCTCTCTGGCCTCCGTCTCTTCTGGAACTTCAATCCATCCCTCCATTCCCCGATATCAATCAAGAGCCTACCCCTTCTAGCCCCTGGGGTTACAACAGTGAACAAAACAAAGTCCCCAGCCGGCAATAGTGGGAGATAGACAAGAGACAAATAAATAATGTATCTAGCATGACAGATGGGGATGCGTACTACGGAGAAAAATCAATCGGAAAGGACGACAGGGAACCCCGGGGCGGGGAGGGGTACTGCAGTTTTAGACGTCAGAGCAGGGAGGCCTCAACTTGAAGACGACCTTTGGACAAAAGCTTGAAGGAGGAGAGGGAGGGGGGCAGGCAAATGTCTGGAGGAAGAGTTTTCCGGGCAGAAGGAAAAGCAGGTGCAAAGGCCTTGGGGTGCCTTGTGTTCTGAGAAAAGCTCGGAGCCAGGGGGCCAGAGTAGAGTGAGAGGGGGCAGGGCGGGAGATGGGCTGGGGGGGGATGGGGTGTGCGGCAAGGGCACATTATCTAGGGCCTGGGAGGCTGTTTTGAGGTCTCTGGGTGCCCTTCCAGGGTTCTGAGCAGAGCAGTGACATGGTCTGACCTGGAGTCTGGGTTGAAAAGAGACTGCAGGGGGCAAGGGTAGAAGCAGAGAGCATTCGGGGAGACAGATGATGGGGGCTGGGACCAGAGTGATGGGCAGAAGTTGGGGGTGAGAAGTATTGGATTAGAGGCTCAGAGGTAGAGCCAACAGGATATGGTGTGAAGAGGAGGTAAGGATACTGGCCAGGATATCCAGGTGATGGCCTGAATAATGCTGGAAGGATGGAGGTGACCTGGGAGGGGCGGGTCCGAGGAGTTAGGGGAGGAGTATGCAGGGTAGGGCAGCGTAGGGGCGAAGGTGTGCATGGCATTTAGAGTTTTAGCTCCAGCCATTACTTGCACTTGCTGATCACCGTCTGAATTTTTTTTCTGCCCTGACAGAACTCCAAATGACCTCTCAAGGATCCCTTGAGAGGGATCTGGGTCCCTTCTATGAATCTGTCCTTCCTCCCACCCCCCCCCGCCCCAGTCTATCCCTCTCTCTGCTCTGTGCATGTGTTGGACCTCACCCACGTCTCAGAGCCTTACAGTGCCCCAGAAAGTGGGACCAAGTGCCATCACTCTCTGAAACCCTGTATTTATCAGAGTGCCTCGCACTTCAGGGTGTCCGGCATGTAGTAGGTGCTCAACAAGAGCTGATTGGGGACCTGGTTTGAATTCCTGGCTCTGCTATTTACAGGTTTTGCGACCCTGGGTAGCTCACTTTGCCTCCACGAACCTCAGTTTCTGCATCTGTCAAATGGGTGTGATCTTTCCCCTCTCTGCCTCTGAGGTTCTTGCGAGGATCCTGAATCTATCCGATAGGAAGAAAAGAGCGGTTAGCGCGCCCTCTGCTGGAAAACGAGACCCCTGACCCGCTCCTGCCCCTGACGCCCGCCTGGCTGGGAGGGAAAGGCCGCAGGCAGGCGGGAGGGGAGCCGCGGGGAGCACGGAGAGCTGGACACACACGTTCCCCTGTAACCGTCACCGCGGCTTTGTGGAGGAGGTTACATTAGACCCATTCTACGGAGCACCTACTTGTCCCAGAGCTTCTTACGCGCTGTCACTCCCCTTTTTTTAAGAGGAGAGAAAAGGGGGAACCGAGGCTGGGTCGTGCAGAGGAAATAAAAGGTGGGGCGCGGAGGAAAATGCTCGGGTGACTGGGAGGCCTCTCTGGAAGGGCTAAGGACCAAATCTATCTACATCGGGGCTGGGGCTGCATGGGTCTTGGTCCTCGTTTAGCCACCGACTCGGTTTGGGGAGGTACTGGCCAGTCCCTGCCACTTCCCAGGCTCCGTTTCTTCTCCTGTGAAACGGGCACGATACGCGCGGACAGGGGCAGAGACGCCTGATGGAACCGGCGTGCGAGTGCCCTGCAGAGCGCGTGCTACGACGGCCACCAGGGGGCGCGAGAGGCTCCCGCTGGACTGGGATCGCGCACATTCCACTCGCTCCCCACCGCTGCGCGAGGACTCCACAGCGCGGGCTGAGGCCCCTCTGGGCCTCGGTCTCCTTTTCTGGGCGGGGCGCCTCTCGCTTCCCTTCCCCGAGCCTCCATAAGATGATGATAATCGTGTTGCCCTGGAGGGTCCAGCCGTGTTGATAATCAGATTACAAGGCACCTGTTCCTCCATTAGGTCACTTCCCAGCACAGTACCTAGGAGGTGGCCTAATACCACTTTCAAGGCAGAGGTGACAAGTCTCAAGCCCAGAGTGGAGCCACCAGCCCAAGTTCACCTGGGGAATCAAACCTGGATGTGACCGGGTGACTCTCAGCCCTTCCTGACCCCTTAGCAACTTCTCACTGTGAGGGTCTCCTGAGCTGTTACAGGGGACCCCACCCCCCTCCCCCCGCAAACTGTAGAGTGCAGCCCGGCTGGATCTGGCGGCTGGTGAAGGAGAAACCGCCGCTGGAGAAAGTGTCTGTGGGCAGAAACACCAGGCAGAGGGTGTGAACATAGGTGTGGTGCCTGGGACAAGCACAACTCATGCTGGGGAGGAGGGAGAAGGTAGTGACGACAAACAGAAACCCCCCAAAACCTACTAAGTCTGGACGCCAGATTCCACGGTGACAATTTAACCCTGTAAAAACTATAAAGTTACCATCTTCCTTTAGAGATCCCCATGGCCTTCATTTTCCTATAATCCTGTAAAGGAATCTGATTTTTCCCATCAGCCCATCCTCAGGACTGAAACTCCAACCTTAGAATGCCATTCTTAGGGTGAAGGCATCTTCCGAGGTTAGGAGGCTGAGGACTCCCTGTCAGTCATTCACACCCTACAGGGGCATCAACACACACAGACTTTCTAGGGGGCAGCTCATTGGGAGCCGGTCTGGGGGAGCACAGAGTATGAGAACGGAAAGAGGAACCCAGGGAGGCCAGGCCTGGAGACAGCTCTGGTCCTGGGAGGTGCGGTTATTATCCCCATTGTACAGGGGAGGAAATCTGAGGCACAGAGAGGGAATTTCATCAAGAGTATGCTGCCCCTCGGCAGAGGAGAGAGAACCCACGCCCTGGCCACCAGGGCCCACACTTTTAATCCTGATCCACAGTGAGGCAGTATCACATGGTGGCTAGGGGCACGGTCTCTGGGTTCCACTTCCAGGGGCTCTGCCATTTCCACCTATATGACCTTGGGCACTTTACCCCGCCCCATCCTTCTCTGTAAAGTGGAGATAGTAGTAGTTGCCTCACGGGGTTCCCTTCATTGAGTTAATACCTGTACCACGTGGACAACAGTGTCATGCCTGCAGCCACCGTCCAATAAATAGGAGTTATTACTCCTTAATCCCAGATGGGCCCACGACCTTGAAGAGTCCAGAGTGCTTCAGGATCCTCAAATGCTGGCCCATGGGATCCTGGAAACTTCCAGCGGCATTCTAATGTCTTTTGGCTGTGGCATTGTACCCTGCTTCCCTGGTCGGACGGCACAGGGCCACCTGTCCAACCCAGCTCGGCCCCACACAGGCAAATGAGGTGATGTCAAAGCCTTGGCTGGGGCCCAGCCCCTGAAACCTCCCCCTCTCCCTCCCTCCCTCATGTTTTCCCTCATTCAGATTCTCACGCGCGCACACACACACACACACACACACACACACGCTCCGGCTGGGCCCAGAGGGAAGGTGATTGGGAGCGAAGGTGGGGGTGTGTGGCACAGGGCCACCGAAGCGTAGCTCCTCCAGCCTGGTGAATGGTGCCCCCGACTGCCGCTGACCCTGGAGGGAGCGCCCTGCCTTCAACTGGAAGCCCCGATCTGCAGCGATCCCTGAGCCTCATCCTTCTCTGTGTGAGCGTGTGCAGGCATCCACACGGGTTCGCCAGCCACCCTCACCCCCAGGCCTGGCCAGGCAGCCATGGCCGACGAGAAGACCTTCCGCATCGGCTTCATTGTGCTGGGGCTCTTCCTGCTGGCCCTCGGCACGTTCCTCATGAGCCACGACCGGCCCCAGGTCTACGGCACCTTCTACGCCATGGGCTGCGTCATGGTGATCGGGGGCGTCATCTGGAGCATGTGCCAATGCTACCCCAAGGTAGGTGGTGGCGGCCTCGGGTGGGCTGCAGGCCCGGGCCCAGGAGGGTCCTGTTCTGCGTATAATCCCCCATCTTTCACTGGTCTTTCCAGCCTCCCCTCTTCTCCTCTGTTTTCTTCCCTTTGCCCTCATGAGCATCCGTCCCTCCATCCCTCCCTCCGTCCCTCCCTCCATCTCTCCCTCATCATAAGGACTGATCAGGAGCCCCCTGGGTCTGGAGCCCTGACCATGAGGGAGACGCAGGGAAGCCCAACACACAATCATGTGCTTGAACCCACAGCTAAGGAGTGTTTGCTGCCTGCCAGGCCCTCCTGCTTTCACGGAGTATGTAGTTCATCCTCACCGAGAACTTTCTGGTACCATCTGTAGTTCATTTCACAGTGGAGAAACACTAGGCTCAGAAAGGTGAGGTCCCACAGCTCCTAAGTGTCAGAGTTGGGGTTGCAGCTCAGCTTCATGTGACTTAAAGCACAAGCCTCCCCCTCGGAGGGCTTTCCCTGTGTCGCAGAGCTGCTGAGAGTTCCGAGGAGGGTCAGCCGTCACCTTGCCCGCATAGGTGGGGCAGCGCTCTGTTCTTCTGTTTAATGTATTCCTAGCCTTCTGAGTGACTTAGTGATGAGAAGAGCACTGGTTTGGGAGCCTGAGTTCTAGTTCCAGCTCCGTCTCAAACTCTGTGTGACCTTTGTCTTTCTGAACCTTGGTTTCTTTCATCTGTAAAATGGGCCCCAAGCTCCTATTTCTCCCAGCCCCCCAGAGTTACTATGAAGATCAGAGAAGATATGTTTTGTAAACGGTAGGGTGTTGTATTTAGGAGAAGGGCTTCCAGTCTCACTGTTACCGGTCCTCCCAACAATGCCTGCACCATGTCCGGTGTTGTAATCCTTCAGGGCCCAGAGAGGATGAGCGACTTTTCCAAGGTCACACAGCTGGTCAGACAGACCCAGGGAGACAAGGAGAGAACTTGGGCTGTGTCTCTAACTGCCCGGAAGACTTCGGTCAAGTGCCTACCCTCTCTGAGACTGTTTCCTCATTTGTACGAAGTGTGTGTCGGGAAGAGGGGTGGGAGAGTGGGTGCATCGAAGGGCCCCGTGGGGCACACATCCTGACGTGTAGGGATGTAGGGCTCCAGACCCTGGGCACCCCCCATGACCTGCAGCCCCCTCCTCCCTCCCACCTGGGTGGCTGGGTTCCGGGGTTCCGGAGAGGAGGGAGGAAGCTCCTGGGGGCCTGGGCCCGGCTCTCCCCAGCCCTGCCCCCTCCGTGGGCCAGCTCTGGGCTGTCAGGGCATTCGGTGCTGGGGCAGTCTGGACTGGTTCGTAGCCATTTCCCGAGCAGTTTACAGTCAACTAGCCTCTGTCTGTGCAATGTCCTGAGCGCAGGTCATGGCGAGAAGAGGTCCCTGGGGCCCAAGCCACCTGCGTCGCCACGTCTGTTGTCATCCTCCCAGTGAGGAGGCGGGATCCTGGGGCCCTGCAAGGGGACAGCAGGGGTGTGGAGGGCCGTGACTTCTCGTCCTCTCCCCGTTTACCAGAGGTGGCCCTGGAGGGGGCGGGGGGTGCAGAGGGACCCGGTGGCAGTGGCGGGTGAGGGAGAGAGGGAGAGGGAATCCTACTGGGTATTAATGAGTAACTGTTGATAGATTCACGTGTTCAGGTGCTGGGGAGGCAGCAAGGCAGGGGAGAAACAGCGCTGGCTTCCGTGTCCCAGGCCCAGCTTTAAAGCCCTCCTCCCTCTGCCCCTCGTCGCTGACCTTGGCAGAGCCTTGCACGGCCTGGTGTGGGGAACCAGTGGGGTCTCGTCACACACATTGTCCTTAGGGCTGGTGTTTGTGGCGTTGGGCAGGTCTCCGTATGTGTGTGCAGGGGTGTGAGCACTGGTGTGGGTCTGTGTGGGTGTGTGTCCCAGAGACGCAAGCAAGGAGGGAAAGCATGTTGTGGACCCGTGAGGTGTGCTGGAGCGAGGAGCCCTGTCTCCCACATCGTCTCAGTGCCTGGCCTTCAGCAGGTGCTGGTGCCCATCCCCCCCCCAGGGCCCCCCAAATAGGAATTTTCTGGATTGAAAGAAATATAACTATAAGGGAATGGAATCAGCCAATTAAGATAGAAGAGTAACATGAATTGAGCTGTCCCTGTCTTTGAGGGACTGGGAATCTTGTTGGGGGAGACAGTGTTGTGCCTGATGGGGAGGGAGTAGGCTTCGCAGAGAAGATGAGCTGGCCTTTGTAGGCTAAGTAGAAGTTCGCCAAGCAGAGGAGATGGGGAAAGACTTTCTAAGAAGAAGGAACAGCACGATCAAAAGAAGGAGGTAAAAGCAAGGAGAGTGGGTCAACACGGCTGCTGCACGTGGGGGCTGGGAGGAAGGTGGAGACAGAGTGGGCTCAGCTCCGCAGGGCCTGGGATGCTGTGCTAAAGAATATGGACCTTACCCTTCAGTTGATGAGACAAGAGAAGGACATGATCAGGTTTGCAGTTCTGGAAAGTTATCAGGCTGACATCTGAGAAGAGGAAGGTTTGGGGGCAACCAGGCCAGAGGGGGAGGCTCCTTCACGGGGCCAGGTGAGAGATGATGGGGCCCTGGACCAAGGCAGCCTTTGAACCCAAGGCTGCAGGAACCGAGAAGACATTGCTCATTCATCATATGTTCAGTCCCTGCTGTGGCTGGATATAGGACTGAGCTTCTGCTGAGCTTATCTCATTGAATTTCTGAAGTAGACTTGGTCAGATGTGGTGATCAGCTGGACCTCAGGCATGAGAGAGGAGGAGGAATTGGGGCAAAGCTGGAAGATGAGCCAGGCAGGGATGCTGTGTCCATTGGCTGGGATGGGGCAGGGTTGCTGGGAGAAGGGAAGGGTTGGCAGAGAAAGCAGGGCCTCTCCCTGTCTGGTTTCTGTTTCTACCCACAGTTCCCCTAGTCCCCTCTCCTGCCTACTCCACTGGAATCCAGTACCAGGCCCCTGATTGGTGGTTGATGGATCTGTCTTCTCCATGGGTATCCCTCACTCCCTCTGCTCCCTCCCTTTGGGGACTGCTCGGTGCTCTGACTACACACAAATCTGTCTGGGTACTCTCCTCCTGAGAACTCCTCCAGGGCTCCCACTGCTTCTGGGTAAAGACTGAACTCCTTAGTCTGATGTTCGGGGTCTTCATAGTCTGGTATCCCCTCACCAGTTTCAACTCTGTCCCCCTCTCTTAAAAGGACTTGTGTTCTAACATGCTCCAGCCTTTCCTTCTCCCTCAGGCTTTTCAGTGCGGTGATAATGCTGATGATGTATTTGGTGATGATGATGGTAATAGCGATGATGATAGTGGTGATGGTGGTGGTGGTGGTGATGGTGATGGTGGTGATGGTGATGCTGGTGATGGTGGTGATGGTGATGATGATATAATGATGTTGATGGAGATGATGGTGATGGTGATGATGATGATGATATGATGATAATGTTGATGGAGATGATGATGGTGATAGTGATGGTAATGATAGGATGATGATGTTGATGGAGATGATGATGGTGGCAGTGGTGATGGTGATGGTTGTAGTAATGGTGATAATGGTGATGGTAGTGGTTTTGATGATGGTGATAATGATGATATGATAATGTTGATGGAGATGATGATGGTGGTGGTGGTGGTGATGATGGTGATAATGATGATATGATGATAATGTTGACGGAGATGATGGTGGTGGTGATGGTGATGATGGTGATAATGATGATATGATGATAATGTTGATGGGGAGATGATGGTGGTGGTGGTGGTGATGATGGTGACGGTTGTAGTAATGGTGATACTGTTGATGGAGCTGATGATGGTGATAGTGATGGTAATGATAGGATGATGATGTTGATGGAGATGATGATGGTGGCGGTGGTGATGGTGATGGTTGTAGTAATGGTGATAACAGTGATGGTGGTGGTGGTGGTTGTGGGCATAGTGATAATGATGATGATGGTGAGGAGGAGAAAGGGGAGAAGGTGGTGACTGGGCCATGAGGTAATGAGGCAGAGGAAGGGGCAGCTTCTAAGAAGTACAGAGCCAGCTGGCAAGTGCAGGGTATCCTTGGTGGGTGTGGAAGATACCAAGATCCCTGCCTTATTTCTAGACATTTGAGAGAGGCTTACTCCTCATAGGAGTTCTAAGAGCCCCTCCATCCATCATTCCCTTCCTCCCAGCAGGATGGAGCTTTTCTGGTGCAGACAAGTGTCTTTTACTCATCATGCTCTGTAGGAAGAGATAAAAGGGGCTGCTATTTTTGATCCTGGTATAACACAGTGGGGTCTTGTCACATATTTGTTGAACAAATTTTCAGTTGAGGAGAGCAAGACTCAGAGAGGTCAGATAACTTCATCTTCAGTAGCATCGAACTATGGTTTACTGAGCAGCTACTATGTGTCCAGCATTGTGCTGGGGGCTTCCTTATACGGTATCTCCTGGGATCCTCACAACAACCCCAGGAGACAGGTATCGCTGGCCTCATTTAAAAAAATTGTGGTAAAATACCCATAACATAAAATTTACCGTCTTATCATTTTTAAGTGTACTGTTCAGTAGTGTTTTTTTAAATATATATATATTTTTATTTTTTAGTAATCTCTACACCTAATGTGAGGCTCAAACCCACAACTCCCAGATCAGGAGTCACATGCTGCACCAGCTGAGCCAGCGGGGTGCCCCTACAGTTCAGTAGTGTTAATTAAGTGCACCCTGTTGTGCAACTGATCTCCAGAAGTCTTTCCATCTTGCCAAACTGAAATTTTATACCCATGAAAGAATAACTCCCCGCCCCTCTCCCTCCAGTCTGTGGCCACCACCGTTCTACTCTCTGTATGAATTTGACTATTGTGGGTACCTCATGTAAGTGGACTCCTACAGAATTTGTCTTTTTGTTATTAGCTTATTTCTTCAAGGCTCATTCATGTTGTGGCATGTGTCAGAGCTGCCCTCCTTTCTAAGGCCAAATAATGGTCCATTGCATGTATGTACCACATTTTGTTTATCTATTCACCTGTTGTTGGACACTTGCGTTGTTTCCACTTTTTGGCTGTTATGAACAATGCTGCGAATCTCTCTTTGAGGCTAGCCCCCTTTACAGAGAGGCACATAGAGGCCCCGAGAGGAGAGATGACCTGCCCAATGAAGGAATCTTCCCTGGTCTCCTGGACCCCAAGAGCAGCACTCCTTCTGTCTCATCCCACGGCCTCCTTTATGACCTGCCTCTCCTCTGCCACCAGGTCCCCGCCCCATGTGCTGCACTTGCAGAGACCCCCTGATCCCTGAAAGTTCTAGTACAGGGACTGGTGGGTGCAATTTCAGCCGTTCACTTCCCTGTCCCCCACCACAGCCTGTGTGCCAAGAAATACATGACACTCACTCACCAGATATGGATGAAGCCCCTATTCCGTGCCAGGCACATTCTGGGCACTGGACCAGGACCCTGGGAAATGACAAGATACCACCTCCTCGGGGGCAAGGGATGTTTGTTTTGTTTGCTCATTGCTGCCCCCAGTGCCTGGAAGACTGCCTGGCACACAGCTGGTGCTGAATAAATGTCTTTTGGGTGAATGAAGAGCCAGGTGGGAGCAAGAGCCCAGAGGTGCATCCACCCACTGGTGCTGGGCCCTGAGCAGACCCCTCTGCTGTCACAAAGGGAGGCCCTCTGGGTCAGGATGGGTGTGGGAGCCACAAAGAAGCCTTCTTTCCTTTGCCCTGCAGATCACCTTCATACCTGCTGACTCTGACTTCCAAGGCATCCTAGCCCCAAAGGCGCTGGGCCTGCTGGAGAATGGGCTTGCTGCTGAGATGAAGAGGTAGGGGCCAGGCTCTCCAGGGCGGGGGTGGAGCCGGGGGAGCCCCTCAGGCCATCTCCTCTTCCAGCGGAGGGTGATGGAGTCGGGCGGGAGGGGTGGCGGTGGTCTCCTCCGCTGGCTCCAGCTCTCTGCCTTGCCTCCTCACTTAATGAGAGCATGCTATTGGAAATCAGGATTGTTTTGAACTCTCAGTTCTACGAGGTAGGCATTATTATCCCCATTTTAAAGATGAGGGACTTTGTCCTGTCTTAGAGTGAGTTCGTGGCAGACCAAAATCAAAACCCGGTGTGGCCCCAGATCCCAAACAGCTGTGACAGCTCCCATGGCAAACAAGGGGCATGTTGATGGCCAAGCACAGCCCTGCGGCTCTCCACTTACAGGCTCTGGGATTTGGGGAACGCAACTCACCTCTCTTGCCCCACCTATAAAATAGGGGCACTGATCACACCTCTCTCCTAGGGCTTCGGGGGGGGGGCGCTGAGGGATTTAATACAAGCAAAGCACTAAGAACAGCGTCACCGTTAGTAAGACGTGCTTCCTATCAGCCTGAGATCCAAGCGGGCAGTTTGCGTCATTACTTCCTTCAGTCCTCATAGGAGCCCTGTGAAGTGGGGGTGTCAGGCCCTTTACACCGAGGAGGAAAGTGAGGCTCAAGAAGTATAATCACAGGGCACCTGGGTGGCTCAGTCAGTTAAGCGTCTGACTCCTGATTTCGGCTCAGGTCACGATCTCAGGGTCGTGAGATCCAGCCCCACATCCAGCTCTGCACTGGGCTTGGAGCCTGCTTGGGATTCTCTCTCCCTCTCTCCTTCTCCCTCTGCCCCTCCCCATCTCTGTCTTTCTCCCTCTCTAAAACAAACAAGCAAACCAACAAAAAAAGTATAATCATGGGCCTCAAACCTCACAGGGAGTCAATGACGGACCAGACCAGACCTGCCTCCCTGGAGGTGCCAGGCCTGGCTCGCCAGGACACAGCAGCGAGCACTCTAGCCCTGGATCGGAGTGGGACCAGCTGCCCTCTCCACGCCTGGAGGCTGTGACTCTGCTCAGAAGGCCGGGCTGCAGGTCCAGGGTCTGTGGCCAGGGTTCTGGAATTCTCTACTTTGCTTGGGGAAGGAGGCAGTGATGTTATTTTCTGTTCCTGGCATACAGAGTGACCACATGTCCCCAGGGAAATGAGGTGGCTAGCCCCTGGGTGGGCATAGGACTGCACGGAGCTAAGCTCCGGGCTCCTCCTGTGTGATCTTGGGCAAGGGGTCTAGTCCCTGCACCCCACTTCCCGGAGGGGCTATAGAGAGCTTAGAGAAGGGGACGGCTGGAGCCCCAGCACCGCCACCTCGTGTCTGAGGCACTCAGGGCAAGCCAGCCCAAGTCTCCCAGTTATGGTGGGGATCCGATGAGGCGCCTGACGCAGCCTGGCAGGCAAGGAGCACTCAATAACTGGGATGGTGCTGCTGTGTCCTCATCCGAACCCCGGGCACGACCACCCTGCTTTATGGTGCAGAATCAATGCGATGGTAGGCATGGACTTTTAGCTCACCGTCTGTAACACAGCACACTCTCAGTCAATGCGAACTGGCCTGCATTTCACAAGTGGACTCCTGGGGTTAACTTTGGAGACGTGGAGTGAGAGGCGAGGAGAGGTGACTGGTCTGAGAGTCTAAGCTCTGCCACCCTTTGTTGGGCCTCAGTTTCCCCATCCATGAACTGGGTACAGTTACATCCCCCAAAGGCTTGAGATCAGGGGAGACCAGATGTCCAGAGCAGGAGGGTGGGGGGCAGGGGGACAACACTGATGTCTCCTCCTGTGATGCCTGCTAGGTGGACTCACCTGCCTGTTTTTCTCTGCTCTCTGCTGTGCCCTGCCCAGCCCCCAGCCCCCATATGTCAGGCTGTGGGAGGAAGCCGCCTATGACCAGAGCCTGCCCGACTTCAGCCACATCCAGATGAAGGTCATGGGCTACTGCGAGGACCCTCGCCCGCTGCTGGCCCCCCAGCTGGGACAGCCCCAGCTGGGAGCCAGTGATGGAGGAGAAGGTGGCCTCCATGATGCTCAGGGCTGGATGGAGGCTGCGGTGGTCATCCACAGGGCCTCAGATGAGGACGAGGGAGAAAGCAACCCAACTCCAAGCAGGCCTGGGTGAGTGCTCAGAGTGCAGGGGCGGGGGTGCTACCCAGTTCCGGCGTGAAGCAGGCAGGGCTGTGGGCCACTCAGGGTCAGTTGGGGACATTTGGGAGTAGTGAGGGCATGGGGGTGGGGAGGCCCTGAGAGGCAGTAGGTAGAGCAGACGCATGAGTCTGGCTTAGTTGGCCAGGCCTGGGTTCGAATCCCAGCTCCTCTGCTGTGTAGCCTTGGCAAGGTTCTTATCCTCCTGAGCCTCAGTTTCCCCATGTGGGAACAATCACTCCTGCCTCAGAGGGCTGTTGTGAGAACTGGGACAGTGAGTTCAAATCTGGACTCTGTCGCTGATGTGCTCTGTGACGTCTGGCAGGTCACTCGCGCCCACCCTGTCCCTGGCTGCTTATGAACTAGGTTTCTCATTCATCCACTTATTCACTCATCCCACCAAGAATGCTGGGCACCTACTCCCTGCCAGACCTTAATGGCCCCCACCCTGCAGGAGCTCCCAGTCCGATGGGGGAGGTGGACGAGGGAGCAGAAGGTGACACCTTTTGTGGTGGGGGCTGAGGGCCCACAGGAGACCCCTGAGTGGCCAAAGAGGCAGGGGAAGAACCTGGTTTGGATCATAACATAATGCCCATTGCTTGAGCACCTACTGTGTGCCAGGCATTGTGCAAAGGGCTTGGCACACGCTATGTGCTGTAATCCTCGGAGACGATCATAGGAGTGAGTACGATGATGTTCCCCTACTTTGTAGGGGAGGAAACTGAGGCCCAGACAGGTGAACTCACCTACCCTGGGCCTTGCAGCTAGTGGCTGAAATTTGGACCTGGGCAGTCTGACTCAGGGCAACCCTGGCTCTCTGGGCTTTTGTTCCTGCAGCCTCCAGGCCTGTCCCCAGGGACCTGCACCCTTGGCTTCCTTCCAAGATGAGCTGGACGTGGGCTCCGAGGAGGGCAGCAGCCCCAACCCCTCTCCCCTGGAGGGGGAGGAGCCTCACTGCCCGCCTCGGGAGCCCCGGGCTTGCAAGTGCCAGCTGGACCGCTTCCATGACTTTGCCCTGATCGACACCCCCACGGCAGAGGGTGCGTCTCCAGGGGGCCAGCGGCGGGACACTGCCCTGTCCAGCTACTGGCAGCCATCCCGGCGGATGAAAGAGGAGGAAGAGAAGGCTTCAGACCCAGGTTCAGAGCAGTCAGAGTGGGAAGAGGAAGACTTGTACTATGGGCTGCCGGACAGCCCTGGGGACCCCCTCCCGGACAAGGAACTGGGCTTTGAGCCCGATGCCCAGGCCTGAGATGCATCTGCTCCCTGGGTTCTAGCCCTGCACCACTGCTAACCCCCATGCGACCTCACTGGGCCTCCGTATCCCCTGTCTGCGAAATGGGGTTATGTGGAGGTTCATGCAAGACAGCGGGCCGGAGACCACTTGAAGTGCTCAAAGCGGTGCATAGGGATGGGGTGCTTGCTGTCCGGGCTCTCCCACTGTTCACTTTCTTTGGGGAAGCGCTGAAGGTAAAATATGATTCACTGAGAAGAACTGCAGCCACTGGGGCCCTCGAGAGCCTCTTCTGCCTCCCCACAAAGCGGGCCTCTGAACAAGACCATCCTTGGTGCTACCGTCTGATCCTCTGTGAAGGGCTCTCAGGGTTCCCGTCCCTATGGAGTCTTGTTGCCGCCCCCCGCCCCGATGTCCCCTCCCCTGCCCCACACCCGGGTGGATGGTGGGATCCGTCTTCACTCAGAGCTAATCACGTCCATCCTGCCCACACCCCTCCTGTGGCTCCCATCACCCCAGATCCAAAACCTTCCATGCCTCACCTCTGCGGCCCTCCCAACTTTCTCCCTGGTCAGCCCTGTGCCACAATCTCTGCTCTCCCTCCTGCTCCCCTAGGCCCGTCCCAGGCCGTCCCCTCCAGCAGCACGCCCTTTGCTTCTTTGTCTGTCTGGCAAATTCACGCTCATCCTTCAAACCCCGGCACGGATGCTCCTCCTCTGAAAGCTTTGCCTGATGTCACCACCTCCCGGAACGAGTTCCTTCTGGCCCCTCTATGCCACCTTCGGGCCTTGTACATTGATTGCTGGAGCGTGACCACCTGCTCAAGGCTAGACCTCTGCTCTGCCCACCTCCGTAGCTCCTGTGCTCAGATCAGTGGTCATCGAAGGCTGACAAAACTGACCAGAGCCTTTTGCAGATGATGCCCCCACCCCCTAACTCTTAGACTGCCAGGCCCTTTACCCTCAGGCAGTCAAACCTCCGAAGGGCATGCACCCGAGTCACAAAGGCAGGCAGAAAGCCCGCAGAGAGGCCCCCTTCCCTGCAGAACACATCTGCATTGGCTGAGGATGGGGGGTGAAATGAAGCCTTCTGGCTTGATTCAGTTTGATTCGGGTGGTGTTTACTGAGCACTACTGTGTGCTGCACACGAAGCCGGGACTTTTAGGGGGAGGGAGACGTGAACTGATAAGGTTCTTGCCCTCCAAGAGCTTACCATCTACTGAGCTTGGTGCCTTGTAAGTTAGGGACGGAATGCAGAGTGCAAACTGAGGAGGGAGCAGAGCAGTTAGAAATGGACAGTAGAGTTCAGAGACGGCGGAGTGACAACCACATAACCACCTGGCCCATCGAATGCAGGGACAGATGGCTCAGGCTGCCTGAGCAGGCCCTGAAGATAGCACTGTACCGCAGCTCCACGGTGCCATGCTTGGATCAGGCTGATCTGTGCAAGGCGCCGGCGCACCCCAGCATGGACGGCAGGGGCTTCGGAGAAAGGGGCGGCAGCACACCTCCCACCAGGCCTGCGCATGCGGAACTTGCACCCGGGCCCACTGGGAGGAGGAGGCCTTCGTCGAGGCCGGGCCTCTGGGTGTGGGGTGCAGATCTCAGCCGACGGCAGGGGCTGCCCCCTGTGCCGAGTCAGAAGTGCACGCCCCTGGCTGCCTGGGTGGCGCCGTTGGTTAAGCCTCCAATGCTTGGTTTCGGCTCAGGCCCTGGTCTCAGGGTCGTGAGACCAAGCCCCGCATCAGGCTCCACACTCAGCACAGAGTCTGCTCAAGACTCTTTCTGCCCTCCCCGCCACCAATAAAATAAACAAGTAAAATCTTAAAAGAAAAATTAAAAAAAAAAAATGAAGTGCACACCTCTGGAAACACACTCCTCTTTCATTCTGGGTCATTACTACCTCCAGTAGTAATGACCACTAAAGAGAGGGGTGCCCCCAGGCGTATGCCCTCTGCTGTAACGTGGTCCCGCTAATGGCCCCAAGACAGCAGACACAGCAAGGTGCCCCATGTTCCTGCACCCTGCTTACTAAGGCAGGGGTGCAGGTGACCTGCATCAGAAGGGCCGTCTGGGCAAACAGTTAAAGTTTTCAGTGTTTAAAGGGGTCACTTTCACCTGCAAATTCTTTTATGTGAAACCACCCGTTCCCCCCCTGGGCACGCTAAATAGGGCATCGTGCCTGGCAGGCACTGTGGGCACTCTCTGGAAAGCGAATGCCAAGCACGGGGCATGACCACACGGGACAGCTGTGTGGTACAGAAACTCAGGGGTGGCCCCGCACCCCTGAATCACAACTGCAGCGCATTCCCCAGACCTCACCAGAGAACCCGGAGCCCCGGGCTGCAAGCCCGCCAGCAGAGAGACTCACCCTGTCCTAGGGAGTGGCACGAGACAGGGGTGGGGGCGCTCGGGGCAGCAGAGAGAGATGGCAAGGTTCAGGCTTTGCCAGTCCTGGCTCCCCCCACATCCTGCAGCCCGTACGCTTGGGCTGCCCTGGACAGTCCTGGTTTATGCCCACTGTCCTTGCTCACTGACTATTAGTGCACCCTTTCACTATCGAAGTCATCCCACTTGGATGATAAATGATATATTCACCCTATGCTGTGAACTTGGGCAAGTCTGGTTGCCTCTGGGGCAAAAGGGAGGTGATGACCCCCTGCCTTCTACTTCGGCAGAGTTAGGCGGTGGGGGTATTTGACAGAACCCATCTGCCAATGCCCTGCAGGAGAGGGCCACTGGGAGCTCACCCCTAGTTAATAGTTGGGTTTATTACTCATGGCAGTGAGGGGGACGGACCCCATGGGAACTGTGTCTCAGAGGACATGAGAAAGGGCTTCCTGAGAGTTAGGGGATGAGGGAGGGTCTGGGGAAGCGGGGCTCTGCACCATGCTGGATACTGTCGGGAAGCCGGGCTAACTCTGTGATTAGTCAATGTGATCCAGAAGGAGGGAAGGCTAGGCCCAAGCTGAAGCTCTCGTTGGCAAAGGGGCGGCAAGCACAGCCCAGCCAGGAGAAGGCGGTGTGGGCATCGCGCGGGTTCAGGCTTGCCTGCGCTCAGCTGTGGCTCCTGGGGGGTCGTGATTTGCCAACATGGTCACAGCGTGGCCTTGCCTGATGCTGATGTTCTGTGGAATTGTTCGTGGTCAACAGGACACCAAGGCCGAGCTGTGAGGGCCGGGCTGGCCCCTGGCTGCCAAGCTGCTGTTCTTCCTCAGGGCTTGCTGCTTGGGGGCCCCCGCCCCGGGGCTTGCTAGTGACTGTGGGGAATGTGGGGGTGGGGAGGAGATCATGCCGCGGGGTTCGTTTGAAAGGAAGGGTCTGCCGCTTTTTAAAAGTTTGAAGAGCAAGGGGGCAGAGGGGCTCTCATTCCATTCCGCTCTGAGCTCCCCAAACTCCATGATCTGCCTCGCCGGTTTGTTACACCTGAAATCCCACTACCATGCTCTGTTCCCTTGGCCTTGACAACTCTCAGTCTCCTCTAAGAGCACGGGTCTCTGGGATTGCCCCTCTCATTGGCTGATGAGCTGGGAGGAGGGCCAGGTCTTCCTGCAGGTCCAGGGCTGGGGGTGGCGCTGAACGGGCCTGAGGCCACGGCAAGCCCTGGGATGTCAGCCCTCAGCCCCAGGCTCCAGATCCGTGTACCATGGCAGAAATTCCTGCTTTTTTCACCCTCCGGTCAGGTCAGGGGGACTTTGGAAGTTTCCACTCTCTGGGGAGGAAAAGGCCCCGGAGGCATAGTCCCTGCACTTAACTAAGAAAGACAGTGGTCCCCGGGGGCAGTGAGCTTGCGCTTGCCCCGACCTTGGGCACGTTGCAGCCTCCCTGGGTTTCTGTCCCTGTTCGCCATGTGATTAGGTGGAGGTGGACACGATTTCACTTCTATTCCCAGTCCTTAAACGCTGTTTCAGTTGCCCTCATGCCTATTACCCCGACTGGTCCTCACGGCAGCCCTGGGGACAGATCTGTGAACCCCATGCTGTACGTGTTTGTTCCAAATCCTGGACTCTGGAGTCAGAAAGACCTGGGCTTGCACTCAGCCTCTGTCAGTTCCTTGCTGTGTGACTTTGGACAGGTCACTGCCCCTCTCCGAGCCTCAGTGTCCACATCTGTGCAGTGGGGAGGATGTTTTGGAGGAGAATTAATGAATATTACGCTCCTGGCACATAGCAGGTGCTTGAACAACATCAACATGTCCGTCCTTTCCTCTCTGGGTCTCCGCTTCCTTCTCTGCACAAAGCGGATCAACTCTGTCCTGCTTACAAAGTGGCAGTAGGTTGAGTGGATTCCCAGTAAGATGATGCATGTGAAAGCTCTTTGCAAAGGACACAGACATCTATGGTGTGCCAGGTGGTGAGGGGCAAGTAAGCTGACGGCGAGCGGCAGGGAGCTAAGGCTCCTACTTCAAGGTACCTCCTGCAGGAGCAGGAGCGGGAGGAAGGCGCAGCGCGTTGAGCGAGAGTGGTGGTGTTCCAGGAGCAACAGGATGGCTTGTGTCGGCCAGACCCGGCAGCAAACAATGCTACTGAGCATCTGCAAGTGTCAGGTGCTGCATGTATATTAGCTCTCTGAACTGAATTCTCCCTCCGGCGCTGAGAGGCTGGCATCCCCTGGGGCAGAGCTAGGATTCACACAGAAGTCCCCTGAGCCTAGGCTCTTCGCGATCCTACGCTCTTTGCCACACATGTAGCATACCTGCTAGGCTCTGCTCGCCTGATCTCATTTCAGTCTCAAAACCTGCAAGGTTGGTGTGTTGTCCCCATTTAACAGATGAGGAAACGGGCTCAGAGAAGTTGAGGAATGTGCCCATCCTCCCAGAGAAGGGCTAAAGGGAGGAGAGGAAGTATAGCTGTGAAAGCCTTCCATTCCTGGCAGGAATTATCCAGTAGCTCCAGGTCATTCCAACCCTACTGAGGACAGGAGAAAGACACATAGCAATACATGAGGCAGCAAGGTTCCATTGAGCACCTACCTACCTGTGCCTTTCCCTGCGCTAGAGCTGAGGGCAGACATGGCCC